CCCCAAAACCCCAAAACCCCAAAACCCCTTTGATTGTTAATAACATAGAATAAAATCCTTATACAGATGGATACCCATATTGACTTTGTGAAGCATGAAAAGACGAGTCCTGGTGCTAAGGGCTCTTCCACAACTAAAATGGTAAGCTTCTTTTTGATATTTTAGTCACAAAATACCTTACATTTCTCAAATTTGAGCCAGAAAAAAGTGAGCTCGAAGAAGAATAATTCTTCAAAAGGTCTTTTTGGTAAATTTAGAGAAAAATTAAACCAAAAACATCTTGATCGAGCTATTAATGAAGCTGATGGGATCATTAAATCCTTGACTGAAGCTAAGTTTGGAGAAGCCAGGATTGGTAACCCGGTTACCAGAAATGCTGTTGAGAAGATCAGAGCGAAATGTAAGGGTTGAATCACATTTTTAGCAAATTTACTAGAGAATGAGAAAGAATTTTTATTTGAAATTGACTCCCACGAACACTCTGAAGGTATGAATTAATTATCTCAGCACTTCTTCTTTAAAAATTTATGAATACCTAAAATCTCTAACCAAATAACCTACAGAGTCAGATTATGAGGCAGCAATATTGTCAAAATCGAAGAGCTATAAATTCCATTTGCCCAGCATTCATCATAAGAAAAATGGTAATAATAAATACTAAAATCTTGATGACTCATATCTAGTTGACTTAATGAGCCAAATCAGTGGAATAAATTCTCCAAGAATAAGCTATTTCTCGATAGGACAGCACTTCGAGAACAGTAAGACTCCTGATTACCCCTAGACTCTAATTTCCTTAAGGAAATTTTGAAAAAGAAATAAGGCCCGTGTTGAAGAGTCCAAGGCTGCTAGTAACCAGAATAGGACTGAGAGGAAGATAAAGTCTCTTTCTAGAATTTCAAGACTCAATCCTTCTGAGTTACAGAAAGACAGTGACCTAATGCATCATTTTAAGCAGAAGGTTAATTATAGGAACATGAATTCATCGAAATATGATCATTTCTCATCCAATAATGATGCTGATTCTATTCAAAGAAAGCTAACAGAGATTCAGAATGATGAGTTTACCAGAGATCCTGAGACAATGAGGTACTGTGAGAGGCTTCTAGAATCCATGCATCACATAAAATCGCCCTCTTTAAAGGCCATCTATAGGACCGCTTTTGATGAAGCTCACTCCAAAACCAGCAGGGTGGAACAATAATTCATGAATAATTTGTATTACAGAAAATATTAGGTCTTTATGTCGCTGTAATAGATCGTCGTGACAAATTTCTTCCTCTTTATCGACTGGGTAATTCCACACACCTTAGTGTTTGGGCATTCTGTCTTCGGAATGGTAAATACGTGGCTCAAGCTGATGTGTGCAGGAGATTTTAAGTTTTTGTCTTTGAAAATAGGCCTAATTTCATTCTCTCTTTTAGATTTCATTAATTCCTTACTAAATTCAGGGTTATGAAAAGGAATGTCATTGATTCCTTCATCTAAAGTATTTTTAGTCAGATTGAATGGCATGGTAGGAGGCTCATTAAAATCTGAGACCTTCGGAATCTCCTGTGAGTATCCACTCATTGGGATGCAAGTATTGTCGGGTCCATTTTTCATTTTAATTTCCTTCTCTGGTTCAGACTCTTCCTCTTCTTCTTCCTCCTCATCTTCAACTTCTTCATCCTCTACAGCACTTAGGTCAATGACATTGTTAATATTTCCGTTTTCGTCAGCAGCTGAAATTTGGTCAGGGGCGAACCTCCATTCACCATCAACAATGAACTTATAATGATGTTCCTTATTTTTCCAGAGAAAGAATTTTGGTTACGTTGGAGTTATTCTTCTCCATTGGGTAGTGATCTTGCCAGTCATCAAAGCTGCCTACAAGGTAGATGTCATCACCTCCGAAATTCCAGGTGAAACAATAGTTTACTCTATTGGATTTCTTCTTAGTTTTAACCTTCTTCTTGGGCTTTACATTAGAGGTTTCTGATAATCCTCCTACATCATTTACTTGGCAGTCAGAATCTGAGTTGGAGAAGAGGGAGGAGGGGTGCTGGACTCTCTTTCCATGCTTCCTTCCTCTGGAATCCACCTGGCTACTATTCCTGCTACCTTCGTTGTTTGTCGAAACCTATAGATCTGGTTTACAAGCTTACTTGGCTTCCCATCTTTAATAATTATATATTAAAAAATTTGAGTTATTTTTCTCTTTTCAGCTAAAATTTAATACTTTGGGGTTTTGGGGTTTTGGGGTTTTGGGGTTTTGGGGTTTTGGGGTTTTGGGGTTTTGGGG